CAATACAACCCCCTTTTCCACAAGAAAAAATCAACTATCAAAATAAATTTGTCTTACAAATACGACCCCCCCCCATGGGTTTGACACAACGATGCTGTACCCTGGCGGCATGCGCATCGACGTCGAGGTTCCGTGGCGATTCACATGAGCGGTAAGATGCGTATCGCGGCGAGGTGTAGAGACGATACACACGTGAGAGGGCGCAGACAAGCGCGTTCGGCTATAGTTAGGCGTGCGCCTGGTAAGGTCTCGCTGCGTCTGCGTGCTCGCCTGTGAATGGAGTCCGAAAAGGTATCTGACTACTGCTGCCCTACAGCAGCAGTCTAAAACAGTTTAAGATTCCATTCACGGGACCTTGTCTCGACGCCTTCGCCCTTGCCTCGACGCAATTTGAGTGACGGGATGTGCCAAACGTTTGCAGCTCAATGCCCTTTCACTTCGCATATGGTGTGGCTAGATTCCTACAAAATTTGCGTTTAGAGCATCTCATTTTTATCAGGAACCTAATAGTCTATAAGGGAGCGAGCACCAAGAAACTTATCGAGTAACCTTGTGCTCTAAAGTTTCATCTTCTGAATGTTTCAGTTTACGGAAGCTGTTCTCTCGGTTATGCGATGCTTTGTTTGCTGAGGTAATTTTTCCAATGGCCCATGTGCGCCTCACAGAAGCCACGTACGTTCTCATGAAGGCCAACATTTTCCTTTTTGAAGGTCAGCTTATTCCGCTACATTTTTTTTTCAATTTTTTGTGTGCTGCGGGTTCTCAAATCAAACACAAAACAGCTCATTCCGGAGATCTCAAGCGCTTTGGAATCTTCTGAAATTACTTTTTGGTGCTTTTTGGTAAAAAATACTTGACTTATTCGCATGGTTCCTTGAAGCGAATTGATTAGTGCATTGAGAGTTCAAATTACGCTTGCAAATGTCTTCGTTTATGGGAATAGTTCTTTTCATTATTACCTAAGAAACATCTTAATTTCTTCCAGGCCTAACCTTCAGCAGCCTGTCACCAGAGGGAAAAGTGGTGATAAGCGAAGAAAAAACGCGACATCGCGCAGCACTGCTTGCTCATCTGAACGCTATGAAGGGCACATTTGACGAGAAACTCAACCACATTATTCAAATTGAACACGATTAATGAAAGTCCTAAGGTAAGCCGAAATTTAAGCGTCAATTTATACAGTAATCCAAGTCGTTGGCCTAATGAAACCTCAAATTCTCCATATTTCAACTAAGGGGGAACCACCACCGAGTCTTAACTTGAGCTTCATAAGACGGGGTAAGTGTCGGGTCAGATAGTCCCATTAGACAAGGAGACCCCAAGCACAGCGAACGTAGGTCCTCAGCCCAACTTAAATATCACGGTTGTTTCGCCCACGGACTGCCTAGATGAGGCCGAGGGGTTGGGTTGCAGCGTGTCAAGTCCCGTTCTCCACAACGTGCTTTGAGCGGGCAAGCGACAATTTTGATGGAAGACGAGCCGAACCGCGAAACCCAGCACGCACGCCCCAGCACTATGCCGGCCCGAACAAGACGAGCGGCAGACGATACCCTTTGTGGCGACGCTTTCGCTGCGCTGCCGCACCAGTCTCTCTGTGATCTGCTTGCAATCGAATCGCGCTAATTCTGGTTCCTGCAGTACCTTTAAACCTGCTAGATATGTGTATATGCGTCTGCGTCAGGACATCGTAAGACGCAGCGCTAGAAGGCCGGGCCTTGTGAGCGTATGCGAAGGAACACGTCCGCTTGAAACTGCTCTAAACGTCCCATATGGATATCATCTCGAGTTCAGGCAGTAGGACGAAGGAAGAAAACGTTCTCGGGGCTGTTCGTCGACTGCGGGGGGGGGAGGGAGCGGGTATTCTGTACATTCGCTACTTCCCATCGACATGTGGTACCATGTAGAGCCAGGGATATGTCATGAGCTTGCAAGACATGACAGGTTTTACCAAGATAGTTTGGCAAAGCTGCTCCAGCTTCACAAAAGATTTCACAATCCACAACGTTAAAGCACAGTGACAAATGAAGATATGCGAACCGGAAACTAAGTGACGCAGCAGAAGTACAGAATTCTCCCCCTTCCACCTGGTGCAGAACTCCCCCACATTGGCTGTTTTACAGTACCTCTCTCCTCAGTTTTCCTTATTTCTTCACCCGCCGTGATATACACCATTAGCATATTCCCATGGTATAGGATGTTGCCCGATAAAGGTTTCGCTGGGATTTAGAAACTTCTAGTCGAATGAGAATTGAAGCCGCTTTTAAGATCTCCTTCATCAACGTAAGCCTTTTTCTCAAGAAAATGATCTAGAGAGTGAATGAGGAGATAATCGGACTTAACGACGTTAGGCCTAAAGGGAGAAAGTATTATGTCTATCCATCCAGTAGTCTTCAGATCTCCAAGGATTTCTATCGAGATGTGGGGTCGAGTGTCAGTAGAAGGACCAACAAAGTATAACTTGTTTGTAGTACAGAATGCTGTAAATCAACTGCAAAAAATGACCTATTTAGAGCGTTTCAACTGTTTCTTTTCTTCTTTTCTTTACTGCTGAGTTACTTTCTGCTATGAAATCAGCGGGAACTTTTAGCGCATATCACGTTCCTCATTGACGTCCCTTCCCTTCCCTGTGTGGGAGGGGAGGGGCTTAGTGAGAAAGTCGCCCTCATTCAACTGGAACCGCCCAGTCCATCACTATGAACTTGTCCCTATAAGGTTTTTTTTTGCTGACTGCAATGATTTCAGGCTATCTCCAACTTTATGGACAAGGAGATTCAATTTCTCAGTGTATTCGGGATTCTCGACATGAACAGCCCTCTCATAGGAGAATGCCATGTGAATAAATATAGATTCAGGCCTTATTAGCGCCATTCGGAGAATGGCTGGTGTTTTTGTTGTGTTCCAAGCAATAGTAATTTTTTGAATGTGATCAAGCCCATCTTTGCCGATAAATGATTTGTTAAACCACCGTAGATTTGCATTCAAAATGGTCCATTTGTCTTGCACTATGCTCCTGGTCTTGGTCTGGTAGCCAATCGTCTCAGACGCTGGGGTGTATCAAGGGGTCGGGCTCAGCGCGTCTTCGCTCCTTCTCCACCAATGGCTGAACAATAATGAATAATAAATAAGCGACAATAACTTTTGAAAAAAGGGCTAGCGCTGCCCCTTCCCTCACCTCACACGCCCCAGCGTGTGCAACGAAA